GGACTGTGGTGCTTTAACAGACCCAAACTGCTCCGTGGATTGTTAGCTCTTACAAAAATAAAACACCTCCTCAATCAAGAAGACAACTCGATCACTTAAAACTTTGGGTTTTTTTTTCCAGTTTTTATTGAGTGAAAATGTCAAACCTTGCATCAGTCATGCAAAAAAAAATCAAATAAATAAAACACATATATTAAATTTCTAATAGCACTAAATTCAAGTGGAAAAATATTCAGTTCTTAATAACGCAGGTGCTGAAGAGACCAGATTCAAGTAAATCAGAGCACACCATCCTGTTTAGGGTGTTTTTTTCAACTTTCTGCATTTTTGTCTCAAAACCTATATATATATCTATATATCTATATATATGTATATACATATAGATATATACACACACACATATATATGTGCATACATATTATTTTTATATTTATATATATACACATACATATTTATAAAACATTAAAAAGAGCATTGGTGGTTCAAGCATTTATTTCCCCCCCTCCCCCACGGAAAGAAAAAAAAAAACAACAACAAAACAAAAAAAATTACACATTTAAAATTCAAAATGAGCTAGCAATGGCTTATAGTCCTAGTGTGCAATATGGATATTACAAAAGGCTAGAATCCTCCCTCTTTGTCTTTTTTTTTAATTTTTGTTTTTTTAAAGTTTTTTTTTTTTGCTACATTGGAAAATTTTTTTAATTTTTTTTTTTTCTTTACAAAATTCCTTCCACACAGACTTTAATCCAGTTGAGTTTGTGGCTAGAATGAACAATCTAGTCAATAGTTTTTATTTTATTTCTTTTTTTTTTTCTTTTTTGCTCTTCAGCAGTGAATGGTAGCAGAATCAGGAGGGTCCATCTCAAGGTTTATTTTGTTTGGGTTTTATCTTGTTTTGGACAGAATGGTTCCGTTTCCTCTCTCCTCTTCCCCCTCCTCGCACCATTGGGTGAATCTCCCTCTCTTTCTCTGGTCATTCGTTTAAGCACAGATTTCAATAGTATTGTATGAACAGTCCTATTGATATGAGAGCTTGAAGGGAAAAAGCCACCTCGCTGTCATAGGGATCTCGGTGCTGCTGAGGCCTTTGTTCAGGAAAGCGCTTAAGCATGGGCTTAAACCTGTGCCCGTGCGGAGAGCGGGTGCTTAAGAGTTTAGCTGAATTAAAGCCTTACCATGGCAGAATAAAAAGACAGGTTTAACTTTCTTGACTTTTTGTTGTTGTTGTTGCAAATAGAGACATAGCAAGAGATTTACAGAAACAGGACTTGGCGAAGGTTGAGACGCGCTCTGGGCTGGGGCCGGCCTCCTGGGTGGCCCTGTCTGGAAGGGCCGAGTGGCCGCTGTCCTGGGAGGGTGTCTGACCATCTGCGGGGCCAGGCCCTGCTTGGGTGGCGCATTTAGCAGGAGCCCCTTGGGAAAGAAATCTCATTCCCTGTGCCAGCTCCCAGAGAAGAGGTGACAGAAGTTTGGGAGAAAGGCTGAGATGCTAGGGAGAAGTAGGGTGCCTTGGGGGAGAAAATGGTGTGCATAGATAAACGCAGGCCCTTCTGGCACGCTGAGAAGGACGTGTGAAACAGGGCCCCGTCCTGGCGCGGATCCTGGCGCAGTGGCACCGGCCGCACCTGCCTGAAGCTGCCTCCTGGGATGATGAATACGGCCAGTGCCACCCAAAGTGTGCTGGCGTCAGCAGAGCTACTGGTACTGTTACCCCTTTTCTCCACACGCTTCTGCTTTCTCCCACTGTTGTGCAGTGACTCAGTCAGTGGAGTCTGGTGAGATATGAAAGGGGACAAGTGAAAACACTACGTCCTGGTGCAGGTTCCCAGCTCCTAACAGCAGGGAACCAGCCTGTCTGTCCTGAACAGAAATGAGTGGTCCAGGTGAGCCCCGTGCCTTGCCACCGGTACCAGACTCCCCCTCGCCTTCGGAGTTAACAACGCTCCAGGCAGGGTCCCTGGACCCTGGCGGGATGTTGTGCTGAAGGCAGTAGGCTCAATCCTGCTCCCACAGAGTCACCGATATACAGCATGTTGATTTCAGTACAAAGTAAACACATCCATTTTGCAAGATGTGGCTTGTGTTACATCCAAGGATTCCTCTTGGAGCCCATCACCATACTATCTAAGTAGCTGAATATGGAACAAAATGTACAAGTGTAGAACCTGCAGCAAATGCCGTTAAAGTAAAATGGTTTTTTTTGCCCCATCCCATTTCTAGAAATTCCGGGGCCTCGTTCCCTCACTCTGCCCCAGGAACATGAGCTTCGTTGTATTCAAGAATTGGGTTGTGCTAGAAAACACACAGATAAGGGCAGGGGATATACCAAACAAAACAAAAACAAACAAACAAACAAAAACTCTATAAAAATAAAAGCCACACATATAGCTGATAGAGGAAAAGAACTCCAAAGAATTAAATAAACTACAAACTAGTAATAACAATATTTCATTTGTTTTTGTTTTTTTTTTTCATTTGTTTCATCTCTACAAAATTCAAGTTAGAATTCGGAATCGTGCAGCTCCGGTCAGTGCTAGGAGTGTGAAGTCAGCCTCAAACCGTAGCATTAAGGCCCCCCCTCCCCTGCCACCCCCTAAAAACAAACACTACATTGAAAAAAAAAAAAAAAAGAGAAAGAGAAAAAAGAATTGCACACGATTAACCATATCTAAGGGCTACCCAGAAGGCAGATGACCCCCCTCATCCCCCTGGCATCGGTGGTTTCTCTTTTGTTCTATATATAGTAATAACCTTTACAGGAAAAATACTGTACAACTTCTTTTTTTTTTTTTGCCTTTCCTTTTGAAACGTTATCTGAACGTTCTGTCCCCACATTTACACAGCTGAGCTGCTTGTTTATAAATCAGACCTGATCTGCACCAGTTCCTCAGGGAAATAATTAAAACCAAAACAACAAAAAAAGCAACCTAAACTTCTTGAGGCCTTTATCTGTTCAGGGTGAAAACAAATTATGGGGATCCCTTGGAGCTGAAGCGCTCATGGAGTTGGAGGGGAGGGGGTGCCTGCATGATGTTAGAAAAAAAACAGAGTTGGTTTTTTTTAGAACAGGACAAACTTCAGACAGAAGGAACCTTTTGCTAGGCTGGTATACTTGCAAACTGGCACTGAAATAACTGTTATCAGAGTTAATTCATACAGCTAGTCCTTCTGGAGCCCAGGTGGATGTAGCCAAGCCTTCTCAGACTCAGGCGAGGATTTGGGGGTCAAATAGCTCCTGTCTCACCCAGCAGAGCCCAGCCAGTATCCTGTAGTGTGTGCTCCCAGACTCGGCCAGGAAAAAAGAGCAGGGAAGAGCTTGTAACCAGGGGCAGCCCAATCTTCTGGAGGTGGCAGGTCTCAACACAGTATTGTTGCATTTGCTTATGCAGTGTCCAACTTGCCAAAATTTATCAGCATGGACCCAGAAATGCATTAATTCTTAGCTGGACAACATCCTGGCCTCTGCTAGTGTCTCTCCCATCTTTGAGGGCTCAGTGCTGCGTAGGTTGCAGCCTCGTTTTTGTAGCTGCAAAAGCCACGACTGAGCCCATAGCTACAGAGGTGCTGCAGGACAGCGCCGTCCCCCTCCCTGCCCCAGTGCTGAGCAAAAGAGACCCCCAGGCTGAGCAGGATATCCCACAGGGGGTGGGATGCCCCCTTCTCCTGCCTTCTCCTCCCGCTTCAGTGGTGCCTTCACCCTCTCCCAGAAGTCACCAGAGATCCGTATCAGTCCAAATAGAAAGACAGACGTGCCCGTCCCCAGTGAAAGGCTGGGGACGAGGTCTTGGGGACTGGGGCCATACCTGTCAGTGTACAACTGCTTGGTCAGCGAACAAGCACTATTTTCAAGGCTGCTTTAACAGCGACGATGCTCTTTTGTGAGCACGGTGCTCCTTGTGCTGCACTGCGGGACAGCGCATCAGCTCACAGCCTCCTGAGATGGGGATACTGAAGCACCACAAAAACGCCTCGCCCTCCACAGAGAGGAAGCACCTGGGGGTTGGGATGAGATGGAACTGGTTGGGAGCTTAACCCCAGTCCTCCAGTGTGACAGACCCTTTCACTGCCCGCTGTGTCCTTCCCAAGTGACTTCAGCTAAATCCCTACCGGCAGAACAGCAGGGATGAGGAGAGGTGTCCTACAGAGAAAGTGTAGACTGAGAAAGTTTTACAATATAAATAGCATTCAAAATTATTACCATTAATAGTAAAAAGGATCTGGAAGAACAGAGGAGTGTCCCATTCCCACCCCTGCTCATTCATTAATGCATCCTCATTTACGTGACAATAAATACCCACTCCCACCCTTGCTGTCTGATGCCATTCATTTAATGCTGGAGAAAGAAGGGGGGAGGGGTGGAGAGAGAGAGCGCGTGGACCCCTCACCCCCTGCTTCCCACCGGCAAAAGCTGAGCTACTTGTCTTTGTGACACCAATTCCTTGCATTCTATATATGTGTGTGTGTGTACGTTATATATAGAGAGACACACACACAAATATATACTTCTAAAATTCATTACCTGTTGTTCCCACCCACCCCCCCTCCAAGAAGTGGAGATTATTATTAATATCGTACAACTGAAAACATGGAAAAAATAAAACCCGGAAAGAAAAGTGGGGGGATAGAGCCCCACCCATAAAAAAGGGTCCCCAGATGGGCACAGGCCCCACGCACCATGCAGGGGGCAAGGAAAAGCAGCTGGTACCCTCAAGGTTCATATCCGTATAAAAGGGTATTCTTTTTTTTTTTGCTGAGTCCTGCCCCCGTGTTCTGTGATCTGCAGAATGAAGCGATGCAGCACCAGTCCTGCTGCGAACCTGTCTCTTATGGGGCCTGTCGAGGAGCATGGGTTTCCTTCCTTCCTTCCTCTCTCTCTCTCACGCGTGTGGCACGGAGTTTGTTTTTCACTTGCCATCCCAATCTTTGTTCTTGCCTCATATGGGGTCCTCTCAGTAATTCTGTGTAAGAGCAAAACCAAACCACTGTTGTCTCTAAGATTAAGGAGAAGCTGCTGGAGTGGTGGTAGAGGTCGGGGCAGCAGCTGGGGCTGGAGCAGGATTTGGGGCTGGAGTAAGGGCTGGCTCACCCTGTGGCCTGGAAGCATCACCATGGTCTGTGGAAGAAGCAGCCTGCTCTGGTTCTCCATCTTCTTTAGTGGCCAGGCCCTCAGGGTCAGGCAGCGATTCTTCAGAATCTGTGTTCAGGTCTTCATCATCCTCCTCATCATCGTCATCATCCTCCTCCTCTTCATCATCCTCCTCTTCTTCATTCATCTCATCATCCTCTTCATCCTCTTGGGAAGAGTCATCCTCGTCCTCTACATCACCAGAGCCAGATGCCACCGCCTCCCTCTCCTGAGGTGCGGTCCCGCCTCTGCTCGGTGATGGACCTTCAGTGACTTCTGACTGCTTCTTGCTGAGGTCCAGGGAATCATTGAGGCCCACACCAGCCGCGTTCTGCAGGAAGAAGAGGGAGCTGTTGTTGTCAGTGCTGAGGTTGAGGGAGCTGTCCAGGTTGATGGAAGAGTTCTGGATGTCATACTCGAGAGTGGAGTGGGCAAGGCCCTCGGGGCCAGGAGAGATGGCAGGAAGCTCCCCTCGCTCCTGCTTCTCGTGTTTGCGCTTGTGCGAGTCCATCTGCGACATGCCCACCACTGTGTGTTTGCAGCCAGGGTAGGTGCAGTGGAAGTGGGAGCACTTGAGTTTGTACTTGCAGTCAGGCACCTCGCAGTCCACGCTTGAGCTGAACTGGCAGAAGCCGGCAGCGCTGATGACGTCCTGCTTGCCGTGGTGCTTACGGTGGGCTGTCACCTTGGTGCTGTCAGTGCAGCGGAAGCCACAGCGCAGACAGTGGAAGTGTGTGCTATTGCCAGAGAACTGACAGTCTGGGAAGTTGCAACTCAGTGAAGACTTGAAGCGTTTGAAATCATCCAATACCAGGTTGTCAACGCGATCGTGATGCTGGGCGTGCTTGTACATGTGGGTACGGCCACAGAACTTGTAGCCGCAATTCTCCCGCGTGCAGTGGTAGTGGGTAACCTTGAGAGAGAATTGGCAGCTGGAGTCCTTGCAGTCCTCGTAGAGGTCATAGCGCCGAAATCCCTCCAGCATCATCCCTTCATCCAGCATCTTGCGTGAGGATGCAGTCTTGCGACGCTTGCCAAATGGGGACATGTCCTCGATAATCCAGAAACGCTTTTTGGCCCCTGAGGCAGTTGGCATAGTGATGGTATTCCCTGAGGAGAAAAAGCAAAGAGTGGTGTTGCTGGCAGCCAGGTCTCTCTCCATCTCCTAGCCATCCCAGAAAGCTCTGCACTTGCCAGCACCCAGTGCTGCAGATGTTCCCACCCAGCAGCTCATCCCTCAAGCTCTAAGTAAGCCTGAACTCTGGGACCATGGGCTGGCTGATGCCTGCTGGACATGGCCTTTTCCATTTCAGCATATCCCACCTTGCCTCTGATTGCTGCTCCTGTGTCCTGACATTGTCTAAATGCTAACTGCTGCGCCTCTGCTCCACTACTCTCACAGTCTCTCCTGCTGCTTAGTTAATCGCTAGTTCTATTTTCCTCAAATCAGACCTGAATACAGAGGAGCTCCCTTGTTCCAAACCAAGGACTGAGATTCACTGGGATTGAAGTGGTAAAAAGAGTTGAAGCATGCTAAAAACTGGTACATGTATACTGTTTTCCCTGATCCAGGCTCTTGTATGACACTACAATTGCCAAGGACAGCAGGAAGGGAAGGAAGATCCCATGCGTGATTAAACCTGCAAGGGGGGGCATTTCTAGAAATAGGATGGACTTTGGCCAGGAGACTGCAACATCCCTCACTGTAATGAGCCTACATATTATGATGAGTGCACTTAGAAAGACAGATGGACAGATGTTCAATGGGGCTAATTCTCATCATCACTAGCCAGTGGACTTTCAGAGAAAATACCAGTTCTACAGCTTTCCCTTGGGTCTCAAAAATCACACGATGCCCCTAGTAAATAAAGAGTGCTCATCTATCTTCCACTTCCATTCACAGGGCCATCAGAACTGGCTAGTGCTCCTGTCCCCTAGGATCAAACTGCCATCAAGGACTCGACCTCATTATATCTATTAACTTTTTTTACTTCACTGCTTCCTATTTCCAGAATCAAACCACAATCTCCAGTATCAACATGCAGCACAGACAAGGCTGGATTTCTCACCAGGTGCAGAATTGTGAGTGTAATTGGAAATTATAGCTTGCAACTACAACATAGTTTGTTGGTTTTGTTTGGTTTTTTTTTTCCCTCTCTTCAAGCTGAAACTGCCATCCTCTTAAAAAGAGGCATGATTTGTGACATGCAGTGCCCCGGGCCTGAGAATCCAGAGCAGCTTGCATCCTTGTCTAGGAGACTGAAGAAACAGTCATCTGTTTGACTGTTGTAGAATTATATTTTTTCTGGCTGATAAGCAGGTATTAGAAGTGATGAATGCTATTTCTGTCATATCTGGCCCTTCAAATGACAACCCCTTAAGAGAAGGTGGCGATCACTGAAGGAAGCCTCCAAAAGTTAAAACTGGCACAAGTCAATGGCAGTGGCAACCTAATCTCCTGCATAGTTCACACGCTGGGCTATAAAGATGGCAGGATGAGCAAAGAACAGGAGATCCTTCCAGACCCATTTATTAAAGGGCACTTTTGTTCAGCCTGCAAATAGGAACACCAGCTAGGGGCATCCATGGGGAGACCATCTTAGTGACATGTAGCTGGTGGAAACCACAAGTTAAGGTCAATTTAACCAGCTACCAGTGAAAGAATAACTTTTTGCCACTGTAGATTTTAAATTAGCGAGCTCTGAGCTATAGAATCTGTGACCAATTACTCTCTCTTCGCCCCAAAACATGTGGTATTGTAGACTCTCATTCTCCACTTCCAGGCAACTACTGTAAGTGCATCACTGCCTGGACAAATGGCCACTATCCAGATCAATTCCTTACTCCTTCTTAAAAATAACGACAGCCAAACCATCAAGTCTTTTATTATCAGTATGAATGTTCACCTTGTCTGCCTTCAAGCCATCTTAGGGCAAGGACTCTGGGTGGGAAATCTGGGAAATAAGAATAATTTAAATTTCACCGGTTTTAAACTCAACGTATCTGCCCAGCTTTTACAACAGTTCAAAAAGATGTGCTTAACACTTCAGTTAAACCGATTTTTTTGTTCTCGTACAGGCAAAGTTTCAAAGCAAGGGTATGAAAAGGAGATGATAACCTGCTTCACTCTCCTCCTTTAGCCACTGGACAACGTTCAGTCCCTAGCACCTAACTGAAGTTTTCAAGCCTCAACAGATGTAACCCCAATGGTAAGCTTGTCTTTTCTGCTACTAATAATGTAAACATTTATGAAACGATAAGAAAAGAAAAGAAACTTTAAACTATATAATTAGAGGAAAGCACAGCACAAGGTTAAGATGTTTCAGGTTGCATGCAAATCATTTTAAAAAACAAATAAACAAACAAAAATACATCCCAAATCCAAAAATACAATTTCTTGTGAATTTTGTTCATTGGAACACACTCCTCTGGACAAAGCAAGGATCCTTCTCCTGCTACGTCCCATGAGAAAAACTTGTGAACTTCCAAGTGGAGTTGGTCCTCCAGCCACGCTCCCAGCCATTTACCTTGGATTTGCACATTACTAAAACTGGCAGGAAGAATGAGTAGGACATTTGTAGGCTGCCAGAATCCTCTTAAGTGCGAACTTTAAGTACAAATATGCCTTTAATTAACTAGAAAAGAGCTGGGAGTTGGGAAAAGAAGCCAAAACTGAGACACACCCTAAAAACCATTCCCAGCTGGAATGAGACTCTCCAGCCTGAGACATCTCTGATCTCAGTCACACATGGGAAACATGGCAGCTTAAAACTAGAAATCTAGATGGATTTTCTGCAGCTGTTAAGAGCAGATGCAAATAACAGTGAGTGTGAGAAACAGCCTGAGCCGATGCCATCATCAGAGTGCCATGGGCTGTACCTCACTCTGGTACTGGTGCTGGGGAAAGCAGCCCTGAATTTTATGGCTTCCTATATGAATAGGAAGCAGAGAAGCTTACAAGATCTAGAAAAATACAGAAACTAAGTACCCTGTCAGACATTTACCTGCTGAGATGTGAGCAGCAGACTACGGCACGCCCTGGTTTGGGTAGCCTGGAAGATCTAAACAAGAATTCCAGGTCCCATTAACGCTACATGAGCAAAAGTTTGCTCTGTGGCCGCCCTTCTGTTACAAGAGGCTGAAAATGCATTTTAACTGTGGATTTTGTTACATTTTTCTCATAGTTTGGAATTGGTGGAAATTGCTCTCAGGTATCTAAATGTTTCTCAGTGATTTGCTGTGGTTTTGGTTACCCTTCTTTTAACTGTGGTTACTGTGTCTACAGACGAAAGGAGTAGGCATGGATGGGCCCTTGGATAAAGTTAAATAAGACGCAGAGCGACGTATGCATTTTTACTGACCCAAAAGTGCAGAGAAAAAAGTGTGGCCAGGGTGAGTGGGGAAGGAGATGGGCATAGGACACTAAGAGAGAAAGCAAAGAAGTGTTACCTGCTGCATCCTGAACTAAGGGAACGTCACTTTTTACTGGAGTTGGAGTGGCAATGATGGGCGAAAACCCAGTGGTGCTGACGGCAGGCATGACAATGCCTCTGCTGGATCCAAGAGTGGCACTGAGCAGAGAGTATGAGAGACAAGATGGAGAGAAGAGATAGGGGAGGGTGGGAAGGGGAGACCTAAGCAGGGCTTGTGAGAAAGATGGAGGCAGAGATGGTGGCTGAGGTTGTGGTGCATTGTGGGTAGCATCATCGGCAGCAGCAGTAGCAGTAGAAGGAACCAGGCAGCCTGGAGAATGTGGAGAGAAAAAAAGCAGAAAAAAAGGAAAAAAACAAACCAAAACAACAAAACCAAACCAAAACAAAAACAAACAAAAAAAAAACAAAACAGAAGAACTGAAATGAGAACCCAAGAGCAGAAGCAATATGATGAAAATGGAAAATACATTCACAAATGTACGAAACAGAACTGTAACAGAGAAGAAACAGAAGGTGAGGAACTGACAGCATCAGGAAGAGGAGGGTTGTCTCTGCAGAAGATAAGGTGGCTTTAGTGGCATGGGGGAAGAGCCACAGGCTTTCACGCAGAAATTCCTGCCTGTTTGGTCCTTGTTCATCTGTATGGTGCCAGCTGGTACCAACTAATAGCTGTAAGGGTGGTCTTACACTCTGGGCGGGTGGAGCCCCTTGCTGCCTGGATAGCAGGGGGGGCTATTTCCTAGGAAGCGTGACTGGGGCCAGACGGCGTATTGATGAAGTGTGCCAGGAACTCTCTGGAGGAGCGTTAATGTCACGGGGAACCACTGTCATGACCCAGCAGGGTTCATACAACATATGGTTAGATGTGCTATATGAGAACCTTCATCTAACTAACTGGTGTGGGGAGGAAAAGTAGAAAATTGTGTACCAAATTAAAGCAAACTCAGTGAGGCAGCCTATCTAGAACATAACACTTAACCCTAGGAAGGACAGCTAGGAGATCCCTGGATCACCACTAGATGATATCAGAATTCATCAAAGATATCTGACTACTGAAAAGATAACTCTGTAATACAGTGGGAGATGGCTGTGTTTATCCTGGCAAACAGGAAACAGTGGTGGAAACTTCCAAAAAGAGGGGATGATGGAGGTTTCCTCTGTGCAGCACTGCACAAAGTGGAACAAGAATTTCTGCATGAGGAAGGGAGCCCAGGGAGCTGCTTTTGTATGTTGATTTCTGAAGATGTGGTAGGGTTTTTTCCCCTGTGTATATAATATTTGCTATTGTACAGTCTTTCTGTACTTCAACAGTATAGGAAAGTGCCTGGCTTCAGATGCTGTGCAAGGAAATACAAAAGGATATTGGGAAAATGCCAAGTACAGAACAGGCCCACAACTTTTTTTTTTTCCAAAATGGTTATTAAAATAGCTCAAACTCCAAGACACAGGATAAAAACCTCTCTTCAGGGGAGAATAAAGATACGTTGTTAGTTCATGGATGCTTGAGGTGCACATTTTGATGTATCTCTTCTAATAAATGATGGAGGGAGCTAGGTTAGTATGAGGCACTATTGTGAAGCTGGTAGTTTATATCATAAGGTGCAGTTTTCCTTTGGCCTCTCTTCATGAGTTTATCTCCCAAGAGAGCAGGCAACTGATGATCCATTTCACACACCCCACCCTTCTCTCTTACCTGCTGATGTACTTTCATTGCCCACTGGAGTGCTGGAGCAGCTGCGGTCCATATTGGAAGATTCCGAGGAGATGCCCCCAGGGCTACAGCCAGTGTAGTCCATGTACTCATCCGTCTCAGTGTCCATCATGCTTGGGGGTCCCTGAAAGGAAGCTGGGGTTCCTGATGAGGCTGGGCTGGGTGCCATGCTGCCAACCTGGGGGAGATTTTCATTTCTTGGAGTGTGGCCAATAACCTGCAGCAAGAAAACAGGACGGGGGCTTTCACACCAAAAGCAAGATGCCAAGACCAAAACCATCTGTCTGCACGTTTATTTCTCTCCACCACAGTTCACGAGGGATGGCTGGAACATGCTCGTGAGTGGAACCCATGGCGCTGTGGTGAGGAGCGTGGATCTTCCTGCACTGGGAGCTCAGAGCACTGAACTTGGCACGTGTATCCTGGTATGTGGATTGTGATGCGCTCAGAGGCTGGGAGTGTTAATCTTGGCACCAGTATGCTGGTGTGTTGATTCTGATGCATTCAAAAACAGGAGGTGTTAATCTTGGCACTGCTACCTTACTGTGTAGGTCCTGCTGCATTTAGAGACTGGAATTACATGTCAGTACATGACTGTCCTAGCGCCTGCATGCTGAGACACTGCAACAGGGGAACACGGACTGAAACCGGTGATGTGTGCGTATGCTCTGCTCACATGCAGCTGTTGTGGCCTGGCGTGGCATGGTCTTCTCTGGAGAGTACCCAGAGCAATGTATATCCAAACACACCACCAATGGCCTACTGAGCACTGAGGAGTGGGGGAGAACTGCAGTTGGTACATTTAAATGCAGGAAGGTAGTGGCGGTACAGCAATTGGGTCAGCTTTGACACATGCCCTGATTTGTGGTTTCATCCTTGTTGTGGTGTTTGCTGGACTGCTCCGTGAGCTAAGCACAGCAATAGAGTAAGACTGGTACTGTATGCTCCCAGGATTGCTCAGACCACAATTACTACTTCTCTAGGATTGCCAGTGAAAGGAGACAGAGGTCAAAACTAGCATTTTCTGCTCAGCATGTACCAAAATTCTTAGGGCTAGACTCAGCATGTACTAGAGGAGTAGTGAAGGCAAATCTATTTGTTAAATCTCTGCTAAGTTTGATTCTTGTACCTAAGCTTTTCATGTTCAGAACAAAAGCTACCACAACAGTAACACTGGTTCCTTGGCATCTGTGAACTCATTAAATCCAACAGCAGTAGATGAACAATTAACTTATTGACAGTACTTAATAACTGATAGGGACCTCTCATTCCCATGTTGTGGAATCACAGAGGGTTCCCATCTTGCTTCTACAGATGACCCCTTTTGTTTTCCATATACCAGAAGATGTCCTTAGGGTCAGATCAGTCACAGGTGTTTAAATAAAGCTACCTTGTTTCATCTCCCAAGTCAACAGAAGTTAAAGCAACTAAGGAATAAGAAGAACAAGCAGGACCACTGCTATTCTGAGCAGCAGCTCAGTGCTGCACTTGAAACTCTGCAATTTATTAATGAAACACACAAACCTGATCTGCCAGTTGCTCTCAGTTCTGTGTTAGAAAAGCAGCAACTGCATTGCCCTGCTACTTCCTGAGAGAGGACAAACTAACTCCAAATCAATAAGGGAAATTTCAAGACTGGTATTTCTCCCATCCTAGGTGAAAGCAGCAAATAATTCTTTATGTGCAACAGGAAATGATTGCTTTAACCAGCATGTTCAGTTCTTCCACATTCTAAGCACTTTAATTTTAATAAGCCAATTGGTGCATATTGAGAGAACAGGGAGGGAGTGCAAGTCGTAAATATGAGTATTTTAGTGTTAACCTTCTCAATTTTTTTCTCCATAATTCACTAGGAAAAGCTGCTTACACTAAGTAATGCTTGGATGTCTATGCTTCATCATCTTTCCTTGAACTGCAGAAGTTCAACAAGGTAAAGCTAGCTTGGGTGAACTCTCCTCCCCTAGTTGCATCCCCAGTGCAGACAGACATCCTTCAGAGTCTGGGTACGAGTGTACTGGCACTAAAGCAGTTCTGCAGCAATCAAAGGGACCAACACTACACATGGATCTGCAACTTCAATAACCCCTGAAGTTACCTGAGTAGGAACACGATCAAAATTCTTCCCCAGCATCCTTCTCATGTGCTTTCTGGCATGGGATGTCATTTGGTGCTTGAGCAGGAAGGAGAACTGGCAGCCCTCACGAATGCAGTGGAAGTGGCTGTTCACCTGGTTGTATTTGCAACCTGCAGACACAAAACCATTGTATGTAGTACATGAAAGGTACCAAGAAGGAAAGGGACAGTAGGGCAGATGATCTGGACAGGGGACAAGGCTGGATTTCTGGTGGACTGAAGATTATGGATGGTCACGAGTTCTTCAGGAACAGCACTGAATGAAAATAAAAACCATCATCTTTTGCCTGCTGAGCAACTGCAGGAGAGCATTACGGCATACATAGAGCCTGAGCTGCAGACTAGTCCTGTCTCTCTTCATTTTCTTAAAAAAAAAGGTAATGTTACCATTACATCTAGCAGTGCCTAATGCTCTCCAGTCTTAGCTAGTGCCTTTTCCTTTACAAAAGAAGAAAACCAAGACATTTAACTGAAGTTACAATCAAAAATACACGCTCGTAATTAGATAATTAGATTAGAAATGGAAAGTTCTCTTTCTCTTTTTTTCCTTTGACTGTGCTCTCAGAAAAGCAGCCTCTTTAAAGCTCTAGCTCTGGACAGTGTGTGCTCTCTGGTCAGATAGAAATGAGCCAGGAAGTGTTTATTACCACTCCAAATTTGTCGTGTAACAGGGGCAGCTACTAAACAACAAGCAATTTATATGGGTTCTGGCATACCGCACTTGACACATTTTGCTCCTCGTGGCTAGTGCCATGCATGCTGGGAGTTTGTGTATCTCATTAACAGACAATCCTAAACAGCTACAGTCTGTAGCTTGTAAATAATGGCCTGTTGCAGTTAAAACACAGCTCTGTCAATAATCAGGTTCTGTCTGTTCTCCATCATCCCTAGGCCATACCCTTATACACACAGACGTACAAACCTACAGGCAGGCTCAGTTTCACTCAGCTGTATCTCTTATCTATTTCCAGCTGTCATCTATCTACACCCGTACACACACTTACGTACGTATGAATTTTTCATTTCTCTCTTTCCCTCCCCACCCATACATGCATGTATATATTCATACTTGGATAAACATACATATAAAAAAACCTAAAAAATCTGTTGTGTGTGGGTTTGTTCAGAAACATTCACAGCCTTAATGCAGGACATTGCTTTCTCTATCTGCTATATAGATATGTATGCAACATAAAAAGCAGAGATGTATGGAGAAGTAGACATGCATTTACATGTTGGTATAACCATGTACACCTACATGAACACATCCAGCTACACCATCCCATCATGCTGCCTGTACCTACAGAGGCAAATGCAGATCGCTGGCTAAATGTATGTTTACTGCACTGCAAGCCCAGCCTTGGGCATATGTACATACTGCTGGATGCATGTACCCCATCACTCCCAAAAATAAACACTGCTGACACATGCACAGCCTGTGGATGCCTTGCTGCCAAACAGCTCCTGCATCGCCCAGCCCATCTTTAGCTCACAGATAGCGTTTTATGTGCATGCCAAGTTTATGTTTGTTTAGGCATTGCACTCCCCCAGAGCCCCACCTCATCTGCCCTCCCCATCATGTTGTGCTGTTCTTTGGGATGGAGAACAAACAGTGCTGGCAGGACTGAAACTGTATCAGCAAAGGGCAGGTGAAGGCTCGCCTGTTGCTAGGGCATCTGTGCAGGCTGGGTGTCATATATCATTGTCCTGCTTTGTCTAGCCCTGCTATCACCTGAAACACCTAAAGTTGAGTAAATAACAGCAACTGCTGAATCTACTGACATGTGTAAATGAGACCTAGGTAAGTACTGGCTGTGGCGTGTTGACACTCATTACCCTGGTTATCACAAACAAGCTACCATTTGGGTATAAATTCTTGATGTTTTCAAAGCTGAAAATAAAAGTTTCATTCTGGTTATTGTGGCTGTTTCCCTGCAGTGTGAGAGAACAGCACCCAGGAGTGTTGTTCTGAACCCTGTTTTGTTTCAGCCTTTGTTCCAGCCAGGATTGACAGGGAAGACTGGGTCTGGGATACTGCTAAACCAAAACACAACTCGAAGGGTTAAGTGAATCCCTGGCAGCTCAAGATGGAGCTCTGCTGGAGCTGTCTTTAGGGATTCCCCCCAGTTCAGAGCCCTGCATTTCAGCTTTAGATACCTCCCCAGGAATGCATTCTGCTTTCTGCTCTTGTGCGTTTGTTTTACGAGCTTTACACTCACGGCACTTGGACTGAATCAAACAACTGCAGTGCTGCCAATGGCTTTGGCAAGTGGGCAAGCCAGAGTCTGAGGCTGTGCCACATCTCAGGTGTTTTCTAGGCCACGCTCTGGTGGGAGGCCAGCACCAAGACACAGTGCTGTATTCCCTGCTATTCCCACAAGTGGCTGTGGAGAATGGTTTTGGAGAAGAGAGGAGTTTATTAAATGCTTTTCTCCATACCTCTATCTCTGGTTATTTGCCCTTTGGCTTTCAATGCCGCACTGGCAAGAAAAAAAAAAGATTCATTTGAAGCTTATCAGAACAGGCATTTAGCCTATGCTTCTTTTTTTCTTCCTAAGAGCACCCTCAAACTCCACTCAACACAAGCAGTAGGCCCAAAAGACTACAAAGTAGAAAAACAAACAAAAAAACAGGCTTTGACAATTAGATAAATGGGAAAAACAAAGGGGAAGCTGTATCTCCGGACAAATACATACATACATACATAAAATCCTCTGTATTGCAATTTCTATCCATGTAACTTGGATCTATTTGGGAAAACATACTTCAACTCGAGCAGATCAGGAGCTGCTTTCTGTTTTGTTCCATGTCATGTTTAGTGATTTAATGACCAAATACATCTTAAGCACAGCTTGCAGGCTCTAACTCACAGCATGGGACATGGGACCAATCACATGAGAAAGATGACAAAGGAAAAAAGAGAACTCACCTAGTCTGCCACACTCCTCTCGCTTGGTAAAATACTTGAAGCCATTGGCTGCCCTTCTCTCTGCCTTCTCGTGTTTTTTCACATGCCAGGGCAGCTTGGTGGTGATGTTAGTCACAAAGTAGCAGCCTGGCCGAAGACAGTGGTAATGCCCTCGCATCCTGAATTCACAGTGCTAGAGAGAAGCAAACCGGCACGTTACTTTAAGCAGATCTAAGACAAACGTGCTCATCTGCCTGCTACTAATGGTGTCCCTCTGAGACATGAGAGAGGCCTGCACTGAAACTCTAGATCACAGCCACTTTATCTGCCACAAGCTGCAATGCAAACTTGTTCCCTGTCATATATTTTGTATTGCTGTCATGTACTCTGTATTGCACTATTCTGTGTTGAAATACCAAACCTAACTCGATGCTTTCCCTGGTATTCGTAACAGATTTTTGGTGTAGTTCTTCTTGTGTCTCTCAGGTCATTCTAGTTGCTTTGTCCACTTCACCCAAGTCACAGAAACATAAAAGCAATGCAGTTTTCAGCTTGATGGAAACAAAACATTTTGCTAGACCACGTAATTAAGACCCTTCCATGGTTCTTAGGCTCAGCCTCACTTACTATTGGGTAGTTCACCTGCTTTTTCCCATTCTTTTTCTCCCGTACACATACTCCAGCCAGAACACTGGTTCTGAATTGCTCTTACCTGGTTTGGACAGAGACACTGCAGCGAATAGTAAGCAAACTGGTCTCGCACATTCACCAAATTATTGTTGGGGTTGATGTGGTCCAGGCAGTGGGACTCTGCTTTGCCAGAGGTTTTGCACACATACTTGCAGTTCCCAAAGAGACAGTGGAAGTGGAATTTGTTGGCGTACTTGCAGTCTGTTGCCAGGCAGGGATCACTGGAATACATCCAAAACCCAATCATCACCTTCACTCATTTCACACATTTGTTTCTTTGCCAAAATTTAATTCAAGGGGAGCCCAGCTGAAGCCTCTGTTCCAAACATGGCCTACAGATTTCCCATGGCCGCCTTCCTCTTTAGTAAAATTGATGCTGGCAACACTACTGCAATTCCACCAAGCTAGTGCACTTTCTTGATTAAGATTATTGAAATAAAGCAATGCATGGTGGGTTCTGTAGTCTTTGATGGCCACGCTTCCAAGTTAAAGCTCTCAAGATCTACTGGATGCTGTTTCTCCTTTTCTGCCTGTATTTACCTCAATGGGTTCAGATAGTTTCTTCTACCACAATTTTGTGTAGCAAAACTGAAACTCTTGGGCATGCACACTGCAAGATGCCAGGGCTTCCCCTGATTAGACAGAATCGGCAGTGGCCTATTTAATCAGCTAAATGGTTTTGGTAGCTTACTCCCCACACCCACTCCATGGATTTCTGGCTGCACAAACACAGATCAGATTGGAGGCAGCTGAACAGTTATCTCTTGGATCCCAAGCACTGTACCCAATGATACCTACTCAGATACGTGAAATAAATTAATACACTTCTTTGAAAACAATGACTCTCAATTTATGGCCCAGAGACTGATACTCCACCACCTTGGATAACCAAGCTCTAATGCTCAACCTGATCCTGGGTGCCTATGTCCTCCTGTAAACCACGTAACGTCTGTGCCTCTTTCTGTCTGTGCAACAGAAATAACACCATCATCACAGCAACGCTGTGAAGCTTTAATGTTTTAGAGGAAGTTCAGCAAGGTATGTTACCTCTGCCAGACACCTCCCCTGTGAATTATTTTGTAAACTAAGCAAAACCAGAGGCACAGAATTGAAGGAGACTCATTACAGTTCAGCCAGGACAGCAAAACTTGGGAAAGAGAATTGATCCCTATTCCTTCAGCCACTGGGAGACTTCCACGTGTACCGGAAAATCCTGGTTTTTTTCCTAGGATAACTGAAGGTATTTTCTAGGCTTTATAGAAGTAGGTTTTCTGTGAGATAAAGCCCAGAGTAGACAGAAAGTCTCTCAGTGAGTGAATACAGATGTAGTGCTACAGCTCTGAGGCGTGGTAAAGGGGATTGCAAAGCTGGAGAGGACATAGGGAGGCAAGGAGCACCTAGAACTTACTTCTCCTGGAACTGGAGAAATCCGGGTTTGACCTGAGGCTTGGCGTTCTCCAGGGAAGTCGTTGCCAAGGGTGAAGTTGCCAGGTTAGGCACTGATGCTGGGATCTGAGGCATCTGGGGTATGGTTGAAGCCAGCTGCTTCCAAGCTAGCAGTGTGGGGGCAGAGGGCACAGTAGCTGGACTTGGAGTGGGCACATCAAGGGCAGGAGCGCTCGCCATGGTGGCAGACGTAGCGGATGGTGATGAAGGGGCCATTGAAGCCTTATTCTCAGTAGCAGTTGAGAAGGGAGACTCAGAGTTACTTTTCACAGTTCCACCCTCAGTTCGGAAGTGAAAACTGCAAAAAAAAACCAGTGTAATTCAGCCATCAGTTCTTGACCATTGCATATAACTTTATTAAACACCAACAAGAATGTGGCAAGAGTCTGCAAACAAAATAGCTGAGGTTAAATCCTAAAAGGGTCTCTGCAAACATTTTGGGAAGATTTAGGGGTCTCCTAGACTGTATGTGAAGAGAAGAGAATTCATTGAGAGAGGTGGAGAAAGAAAGGTGCAGTAACATATTGAAATTTCAGAGATGCCAAACCTGCTGCAGTCAGTAATTCCAATATGCCTATGAGGGCAGCTTCCCACGGCTGTTGCGACAAGCCAGTAGTTTGTAGTAGTGAGCCACAGGGAAATGCCCAATGCCAGAGACAGATCTTTCTGTCTTAAAATTTGCAGCATCTCCTTCCCTTTAAACCCCTTCAGAATCAGTCACGTGGCCCGCTGCTGAAGGCCTTATTCTTGGGCAAATCATCCACTGGCTGTAAAGGAACCTGGAGTGGTTTTGAACTGCAGATTACGCTCTATACAAGTCTGCATCAGGGAGAATTTCCAATATCCCATCCTTCCTTTGCTGGTCCCCTCACAGCGACAGTGGGAGTGTATCTTAAATTCGTTCTTCACCCAAGAGTCATCTGGAGCATCTAGAGCATGCTGTATGGCCTCTGTAATAGAGGCCATATTATCAAGTCTACAGTTCTGGCTACAAAAACTCTGGGCTGTCTGCTGCCTTCCAAAACGATGTGAAATGGCAAAGGGTTTACAATATAGAACATGGCAAGGTGAGGAGGTGGTTGCTATTGGGCTGGACAGCTTGACTGCTTTATTTCAAGATCCTTATCCACATGATGTGTACAAAACCATATAAACCAAGGGCTATGGAAAACTTGTTAAAAGAGATTTTGTCATGGCAAGGCAAAGAACAATAAAACGCTTTCTTCACTGCAGTGATGGGAATTGTCTACTCCACAAAAAGTCTGTATCCAGTGACAATGGCTGGGTTTACAAGATCCTCTCGCTCCCATATTTTCCTATTTCTTTGTATAGTGTATTTGTGTGCTGTGAGAAATACAGGTCTCCTTGAACACGCTGTCTGTCAAGTAGGCTATGGAAAAACACAAATGTGCAATTCTTATCCTTGCCAACGCTGTGAGAGACACCTCTTTTGCACAAGTTGAGTGCATTTCTTGTGAAACAAACTTAAAGAACGCAGTGTTCTGCAGAAATTTTAGCTGAGCACATTTATACAGGAAGCATATGGATGCCCATATTGCTGCCCTCAGGACTGCCCATGTTCCTGCTCTTGACTAGAGTCACTCAGTAAGGTCTACCTCATCCTGCAGCATGCATGTTGTAGAGTTTTCTCAAGGTTTCCGAGACTCACGCTCTCCTACTTACTTGGCGTGCTTGATGGCTCCATCCAGGGTGCTGAAGAGGGCACCGCATTCCTCCACGACACAGTGGAAATGCACCTTATGGAGAAAGTCGCACTGCGCATCGCAGAAGTCCTTGGTACCAAACCTGGCCAAAGCAGACAGGCAGGCATCTTACAGAAGGCCCAGAAAAGCAAAGGTGTGGCAACAAACATATTTTCTTTGTTTTTCAACTCCACTACCATTGTGCATTGCAATGTCCCCATCCCTGCTGCACCAACAGCACTGCTGGCATCGGTGCTTGGCTACTGCCTGTTCTATAGATCTGACCATGCAGAGCAAGAACCTGGTTTCCTCCAACGGAATCTGACTGAGAAACTCCCATTCACTTTTAGTTGAAGCAAAATACAGAACTGCTCTGAAACAAATACGGAAATCATTAGTGTTCTTGAGCATGTGTACAACAGCCAAGGCTCTGAGGCACGATCAGAAGTTAATAAATTAAGGGAAGTCCAGACCAAGAGGACAGTGCTGAGACATTACAGGTAGCTTTTTTTATTTTTCTGTTTCTTGTTTACTGGGGGTAGCAAAAGGGAAGAAACAGCAGTGGTTTAAGGGAATCTGGGTCCACAATCCACACACACCCTGCTTCAAAACAGCAGGGTATCCCATATATGGGAGAGATTAAATATTGCCTATATAGCAATTACAGCCTAGTATGCAAGAATACTGAGAAGCCCAGTCCCCGACGTACAGAAGAAACAACACTGCAATGCAAAAACCAGAGCAAAAGCCATCATCTCAGATGCCTCTTGTCATCTTGGAGGAAATGGTCAAGAGGGCAAAAACAACTAAGTATGGTTTCACTGCTCATCCACTGCTGAGATTCTCCAGACTAAGAGTAGCACAATCACGTGTGATTTCAGGAAACTCCAGAATCACAGGGAATCGAGAAATCAAGTAAAAAACACTGGCAGGAAGGATTTGAAACTTAACAGGGGAATCTTGCATAATTAAGATACAACAAACTACAATTGCTCTGATGAGCAGGAAAGCAAGAAATAAACAGCAGCCTGTGTGGTCCCAGGAGGGACCTCTTCACAATCCGAGGGTAAATGAAAAAGAGAAAAAACCTTGTACTGCAGAAGGAAGGTCAGTGGACACAGAATACATGCAGCCAGGTAAGGCTTGAAGGAACAAGATGAAGGAAAGTAAAGGTGTGGTAAGAGATAAGAAACCAAGTTACTGCAAGCTAAAGGAGCTGTTTTATCAGGGACGAGGTAGTGAAAGAAGGTCCAATAAAAACAGGACGTGAGGAGTCAAAAATGGCTGCCTTATAAAATTTGCTTAGGATAGGAAAACTAAAGACAAAACAGACAATTAGGGATAAAACGAGGACCTTCTAGAAGAGCAGATAAAGGGACTGGTTGGAAAATATAAATATGCACAAATCAGCCAGTCTGGGTGATGTATGTCCTAAAGTGCAATGGAAATTAACTCACAAACTGATTGCATTACTATTTGCTGTTCTTTAAGCGACAGCAAACAGGGAGGTACTAGGAAATGGTGAAAAAAAAATAATTAAAATCTAGGTACTGATCCTTTCAGGGAAAAAACAAGGCAAGTGATCTTTGGCAATTATCATACCTCTAGTCTTAACTTCTCCTTCCAGTAAAGTAATGGAACAAATATTAAGAGGGAGGAGAAAATCATTAAACATCTAGAGGATAAAGGAACCATGAGCAATAAACAGCATCAGGATTATAAAGAATAAATCTTGCCAGACAAATTTAATTGCTTTTTTTGATAGAATTACAAAATTAGTGGATGAAGGGATGCAATATATTTGGATTTTAGTAAAGCATTTTGATGCAGTCTCGCATATGCTTAGAATTAATTCAAATTGTCCTGGATCTGAATACTACCTCATGGATTGAAAACTGTCTGCAGGACCGTAAACAAAGGCTAATGACAAACAGCAACACATTGAGCCGGGAGGAGGTATCTTGTGAATGCTGCAAGGATGACTTTGGTTAGGTCTGAGCTTATTTAACATCTTCATTAGTAATCTAGGAGAAGGAGTAAACAGCGTGTTAATGAAATTCACAGAAGATACTAAACTGGGAGGAGTTGGCAACACCAGTGCAAGAGGAGAAAAATAACGCAGAGAAGCCCTGCAAGACAAGGGAGAAGGTTCAGAATACCAGAGTCATATTTGGAAGCACACACCTAATACATCTAGGGCTGAGGGCGTATTTTATCTATAGAGGACTCATGAGAGCAGCATTAAAAGCAACCCTGTGTAACAGTGGATGGGAAACACGATACATATATATTACGCAGTATAGATGCAAACGAGCTAGCGCAATTGTGAGCTGCATATATGGGGGCAGGAAGCTTGTTAAATCTGGTGTGGTGATACAGGAATGGCAGCCCGGTTCTGCACCCATTCAGGGAACGGCAAGAACAACAGCAGCAACACGATCAGCAGGCTGAGGGGACTAATTTACAAAGTCAGATTAAAGGAAGTAAATAAGCTTGCTTAAACGGTATGCTAAAAGTCTGTGACTATTGGAAGGGGGTGAACTCCAATTGCAGAGAGGAATTATCTGCTGTGGTTCAAGGGGATATAACCAGGAGAAATGCAACAAAATTACAAAAGGGAAATTCAGGCAGCATACCATGAAAGAAATAGTGACAGTGAAACATATTAGGTGGTAGAATAATGCTCCCAGAGCCAAGAAAATAGCCACAATGCTTGGCATAATTAAAACTAGACTGGACAAAATGCAAATAGACTGCAGGGCAGGATCTCACACTGGCCAGGGGCAGATGGACTAGAAGATTTCTAGTCTTCTCCACTGAGGTCTGTGATTTACAAAGTGTCCACAGGCATTTGTAGGCAACTCTGTGTCAGAGCACAAACGCATATGTGTTTGCCTGGGTGTATCTGTGTGTGCACAAAGCATGTGTCTGTCTGGGCATGTGTGTGCATGTGTCTGTGTGTGGGTGTGTTGTATCTGTTCCATTTGCCTTTCAAGCCTCCTTGTCTACAACAAAAACAGCAGAAACCATCCCAGTTCCCATACCCCATATACTCCTTATGTTGTTTCAGTGGCCTACTCCGATGAACGCAGGAAATGCCACAGCAAGCGTTTTAAGACTTCCATGATCTGTGCATAATAACTGAACACGGTCCAACAGAAGTTCAGTGCTAAGAGCTGCAGTGGGTTCCCTGGACTTGCAGACTGGGAACACAAAGAGAAGCCTAAGAATTCAAGGCTGACAGTAACTGTGTGAAGATCTGTGCTCATAGTTGGCTCTCAAGATCCCTTTGCAAAATAATTGGACAGGTATTTCTTACAGGACATGAACACCTACTGCAGCCAGCCAGGACTGAGGCCTAACTGCAGTCCAGAAGGTGATCAGCATATCACAGAACTAGGCCTTTAAAGTCCAGAGAACTTTGCATTCAGGTGTGAACTAACGAGCCAGACACTTTGCAGAGGAAATAATTTTCCCTTTCTTCTATTCCCAGTTCCATGCTCTCCTTACCGGCGCAGGTACATCTTCCATGGCTCTGAGAGCTTCTCCTGGACAAGTGCCTTCACCGCCTTGCCCAAGTACTGTGTTGGCTCTCCAGCCCCAGCCTGGCTGCCATCTCCTTCTGTCTTAATGTTGAGCAGGTTGCCAAGGCTGGCACTGGTCTTGGACATCTGAAACAAGAACACAGACACTGCATCAAGCTCAGCAAGCAGCCATGGACGCTGCTGGTTTGGATACCCCCCAGGACTGTCCCACAGAAAGGTTCTTCAAAGGTTAAGAAGACAAGAAGTCTGCTCAGGCTGCATCAACTGCATCAGCAAAACTTAAAAACAGCTCACTCTTCTGCATCTAATATTCATCGTTCTGGTGTAAAGTAATGAAGCCTCGTGTCTATTTTATACATGGGGAAACTGAGGTGATGAGAGACATACCTTGAGTATGGAAAAGACGTGCAGGTTTAAACACTAATAGGCTAACAACCCTATATAACTCCTACAAAATGCTGCTCTCTCAGGACAGAGCTTGTGATAAAACTGGTAAGCTCTGTTTTATTTAGAATCATCTTATCCCAGCCACATGGATGTCTCCTTCTTTAAAGTGACTATCAGGTGTATTTGGGGGTGGGAGGCTGGAATTTAATTCAACTAGGGAAAATTCTGGCTCCACTTCAGTTCCTGGAAAATTTTTTACTAACTCAAATGAAGAAATCATGTCACTTTTTGTAATACATGGACATATCCTCCACAAAGCAGGACTTGGACTCACAATTTGCCTATCTTCAAACAGATACTACGCAGAGCTTTAGAGGTCCAGGCACATGATGTGCAAGACAGAAAGAAGTAAGAGTGCTTAGAGAGGAAATTTTCTTTCATAATAAATGCACAATTTCCCAGACCCTTTCTTGCTTTGTTGTGCTCTCAATTACCTCCAGTGCAATTCATAGCATGAATAAAATCAGGATTGGGCCCAATACTTGCACTACAAACTCCACCCACTTGAGGATCTCGAAGCCCTTTATACATATCAGTTAATTAAGGCTGACAGCCCCCCCTAAATAAACTGCAATACGCTACAGGAACCCTGCCTATTTGAGGCTCTCTTAATGCCCCCTGAAGGTAAAGCCCCTGCTGCTATGTGGAGACTGCAGCTCTTTATGGCTGGAGTCAGAAATTCAGGTCGTCTTTTTGCACTGGTGTTTTCTGAGCATTCCATTTCTGCGAAGGGTTCTTTTTCCTGGCAAATAATGAAGGATTCCTCCACAAACAGAAACTGCGTACAGCAAGAGGAAGAAGCAGGGTGATGTGTTCCTGAGCACACCAAGCTTGATTCTGCAATCCTTAGTCTTGGGATAGGCTCCTCCAAATCACTGGGCTCTATTCTCTGCTGGTTTGTGTCATCAGTTCATCCCATTCCTTCTTTAAAAAAGGAACAAACCTGAAGAACTCGTATTTTGTAACCGTGCTACACTTATTTTGCACAATGTAATGAATCTTATGCAGGGCTGTACACAAACAAATGCTTATTTCTAACCATATGCTTAAATCTCATATTCTCCTGGAGATTTTCAAGGGAAGTGTCTACTAAACCAGAATTTCCCTAAGCTGGGGACTTCAGTATGACTCAGGACCCCAGACAGCAGACTTAGTAAATAGATTTATTCACTAGAAAAAGAGCTGCATACCTAGAATCGCTAAAGGGACAATACACAGGAACGAATAAGAGACTGTACGTTTAAAAGGGAACATCAAAAACCCAGCGTAACAGAGACCCAATAGAGAAGAAAAGTAGCATAGGAATAAAAGCAGAAATTAAAAAAACACATAGAAAAAAAGATGATGAAATAAGAAAGAAAGGAGGTAAGAGACGACTTGGCAAAGTCACTCTGACCTCTCTTGAGGGTTCTATGGCCTTGATGCCTGTAATGCCCAGAGCCAAGGGGATGGCCATAGTTATGCCTGTAAAACCTATCACACAGTAAAATATTAAGGCATGGCTCAAAGGCTGCCCTGCTCTCAACTGCAGTTGTATACAACAGCAAAATTAATCTTAGTACAGTAGAATTTATCATGTGAAAGGGAAATATATATTTGAGGTGATGTATAATTTAAGGAAAAAAATAAGGAAAAAGAAACTGTGCATTATCTAAAATAAATATTCCACATCATTACCAGTAAAGGGGGCTCTGTTGGGCACCATTACTCACACCAGAAAAACAGAAAGTGATGATTTTGGCTCAAAACTTCTCATTTTTTTCTTAATCTCTTTCATAAAAACAAATGGTTCTCTTCCCCCTCCCCCAGTGAAAGAAAAGGTTTTTAACTAAATAAACAAAATGAGTAACTATAAAAAGAGAGCAAGAAAGAAGTTGCCAGGTTCTGGAAATAAAAATGAAAAGAAAAAAAAAAATCTTTCGGAGCCCTCCTCTGTCTAGAAAGGATGAAAAAAAAAAGGTGTCAGAGGCTGCAATATATTTCTTCAGCCAGTTCATTAAATTAATTCGTAAGCAGTGGCTCTGAAATTATACCCGATGAAAAATGGTCTCAAAATTTAAATGGTACAAACTCATCTTATTAGAGGCAAAACATTAAAAAACAAACGCATCTCTTCCCCCCCTCCCCGCCATCGCAGCTTTAATTTCTCTTGGTGGGGGGAATGAAAGGCGTTTGATGGATGGCTCTTACCTTATTCATAAGCGAGGATAAAAGAGATGAATTTGCCGAGACTGTGTGGCCATTTGATTCATTACTGGAACACACAAACCAACAGGGTTTAGTTAAGATGTGCACAGGGACCATGAGCACTGAGATTAATCCTTCTCCCTTCAAGCTGCCTCACTCCTCACCTGCTACATCCGGAGGAAGAGAATGATGCCCACCCTCCCTTGGGCAGGCCAAACTCTTCCACTTGTGATAGCCAAGATGGAGAGAAAGAAGGTCCCACGTCTGCAGAATTTAGTTGTTTCAGCTATTAAACAGTGCAGACCTCTTCCTCCAGTGTCCACCCCACTGCACTTTTTGTTAGCTGACTCACAACCCACTCCATGTTCTACTCCTCTATCTTAGAACTTTCAAAAATATGCCACAAAACCCGGGGGGATGCTGACCAAAGACTCCTAACGCCAGGGACACCGTCCCTCTTGGCAGCAGAGAAGGGAAGGCAGCAATCCTCGTGGCCATAGCTAAGCATGTGAAAGGCAGCCTTAGTACTTCACATGCATCAGTAAGAGCTCCAGTTGACTGCAAGCACTGGGGTCCCAAACTGAGGCTTGTTTGGACAATCCCCAAACACTATATATATTATATATACTATATTATATATACACTATATATATGTATATATATTTTCTCACTAGCGATGCTGGACAAATGGGCCACACGCTTTGAAACAGGTGCATTGACATCTGTGCAAGGGCAAAGATTCAGCACCGTAACTACAGATTAGCGCAGGCCAGACCCAGACCAGAGTTCGCCTGACACCAAATCACTCTGTGTGTCCAATTTCTCTGGAAGGTGCCTCTCTTAGACCTGATTCACAGCCCTGTAAAGTTAGTGCAAATGCTCCTAGTAAAAGTGTGCTGAAGTGTGGTACTGGAGCAGCCTTCAATCAACAAGAGCAGGAATACCAAAGTGAAAGAAGGAGCTTTGCCAGTGACTCATTTTTTCAAAGGGAAGCACAAGAGGTGGGGCTCTTATGAAAGAGTCAGTAGGTGCCTGTGAGCCCAAATAAATGACTGGAGAACATACATTGTGGGGAGTATAGAGAGCCTCCCTGCCTCCAGTTTGGGGGCGTCCAGCTCAGCCACTGTGAAATTGCCTTTCATCAACATCTTGTGTCCTCTCATATTGCAGGTACGGAAACTTCTCAGAGCTTGATACTGGAAAGAGCTAAGTGCGCCTGCCTGCACGCTGCTCTCACCCATGATCCCTGACGCTCAGGTCCAAGCTGTGCTCCTGCAAGGAGTCCTGACTGGTGGCAGATGACGATCCCATGGCCTCCACAGGTTCCTGCTTCACCTGAACTGGATTGAACCGTCCGGGAGCTGCTGGTTGTCCATTCCCTGCTTGAGAAAAGCACCAAAATTAAAGGCAAAAATTAAATGGAAAATGTAGGTCTAAAATGAGGTTACAGTGGCAAATAAGTAAGTTAAATCACTAGCACCAGTACATAAATGGAAAAAGCAAAGAAAAAGTGTGGGGGCAGGGAAGTGCTGGGATTGCTGGTCAGCGTTTATTGCCAAGCTGACATGATGGGTTCTGACATCCACTCCAGCGTGGAAATTCTTCAAGTGATAATTATTGCAAAATTATGTCAAAGTTGTCCAGGCTATGGGCCCTTTAAAGGAGAAGGGCGGAAGGAGCGTGGGGGAGACCTGATTCTCTGCACAAACTGTCATAACTAATTTGCGGGGCTGCCTCTTAAGCGTTTATTAAAGACTCTGTTAATGCTGAGGCAATGTGGCAGCTTTCGACTGCTAGTCAAGCCCCCTTTCTCGTCCC